TTTTTGGTTTAAGCACGCCGCTAAGCTGCAGCTTAGCCGCCGCTGAATGCCATCGCTGCAAAACTTTTATTTACTTTTAACTTTTTTTTTCATAGTCGACTCTCGGCGAGCCGCGCCTCTGGCGCGCCCCCTACAGGAGGCGCGGTGTAGGCAGAGGCGACATAAGCACAAGTTAATTCCCCGTGTAGCTTTGAAGCTTGCAACAGCAGCGAAGACGTCGACGTCGCAGCTAAAGTCAATGCCACACCCACACCCACACAGACAAACAGTTTTCGACGCGCAGATAAGTCCTTGGAGCGGGTATTATAACTTTGCAGCGTTGTTTGTGGCAGCCAAAAATGAAAACGTGTTTTCCCATTCAAATTAATTAATTGAGGATTAAAGTAAATGTTAAAGAGAGCAGCAACATGCAGCTGTTAACACGGCGCTGTTCAAGCGCTGTTAACTTCATCAGATATTTACATCAACAAGCTCATAGCAGCGTTTAAGGCAAACGTAGAGAATTTAGATGCTGACTTTGAACGGGCGGAATAAACAGTGGAATTACCGACCGCAACAACGGCAAGCGTTGGGGGAGGAAAGAGCTGGCGTTCGTAGCTAACGATATAATTCTCTTAGATCTCAAGTGTATGCAACATATGTATACATATTAAATGCATGACATGTAATTATAATGTGACTGTTAACATTGAAATGCTAACACTTGGTAACTTGAAAAGCCTTATCACATTGACGAATCCTTTCCTTGGTGATAAGTTGTCGTTATTAAAGTTGTAATAATAAAATGACAGTAATAAAGTAGCTGCTGTGTAAATACAAGCATGTTATAAAACATGCATGTTATATTCGTTAACGGCATGTTAACATAACATATACTGTTAGTAACATATTACTGTTAGCAAAGGGTTTCTGCGTCTTTTAACAAGGATGTAGCTGTTATATAATTTATGGAGAAAGAGGGGGAGAGTGCCTTAGAGACACAGAGAGAGAAAGAGAGAGAGAGAGAGAGATTTAGAGGTAGTTAGAGATAGAGATATTGAGAGTGATAGATGGAGAAAAAGAGAAATGGCAAGAGAGGGAAACGGAGGGCTGGAAATAAATATATATATAAAAAAGAGAGAGATAGACACAGAGAGATAAGGAGAGAGTGGAGAACAGGGAGCAAAGCCAATTGCCAACTATTGTTAGGCGTAAAATAAGTACTGACCCACGGGCCCATGCAGGTAATCATGGCGCGCACGGAACGCATAAATGGAGCCTTAACAATGTTATTCACAGCAGCTACCAGCCGCCAGATGGCGTAATATGCAAACACAAAATCTGGATTTGCAGCAATTTGATGAAAGGTGAAAGCTGTTGACCAGCCCGAAAGGGGCGCACAGTAGGCGCTCTGCTGGGTTAGTGTTTGGCAAGGTGGTGGGGTGGTGGGGGTGGTGTTACAGTGAAGAGTTACGCAAATTGCTGCGCTGGCAAAGGCTATAAAATTTTATTGGGCATACAGAGGCAGAGACAGAGACAGGGGCAGAGGCAGAGCCAGCGAGCCGGGGCAAATATGCGGTTACGGGGCAGAGAAACTGAACCAGAAGCGGAACCTAAAACTGAACCGGAACGGGAACCAGTAACAGTAACGGTAACGGTAACAGTAACCGGAGCAAAAGTCAGCGATGGCTCAGAGGTGGCACATGGGCGGGATTGCTTAGGCGTGGCTGTTGAGGGGGAGAGGGGGGGGGGTGTGGCGGCCATAACGTGGCTTTGATTTGCGCTTGGCTAGAACCGAACGCCACGCTGAAATTTATTGTCAAGTATAAAATGTAATGGCCACAAACAAAATGGCCCAAAGGGGCAGGCGGCTATGGAGGAGGCTGGAGGAGGGCTGGAGCTGGGGCTGGTTGCGCTGGTAACTGAAACAGTTATTTGCACTTGGCCCGGTTACGTGCCGAATCAATTGAGTGGCGGACGCAGAGATGCTGCTGGTAAACACATAAATCATTTAAGTATTCCACAAGCTATAAGTGTGTGTGGGTGTGTGTGTGTAGCTGTGTGTGTGTGTGTGTGTGCGAGCTATGCAAAATTGTTGGGGCTGCGGCCCGTTAACTGTTCCTTGTTGCTGTCCCCGGGCAATAAAATGCCTGTAAATTCCTTTTTATTTCCACTTTCCACATAAAGGGGCATGCCACAGCGTGGGCGTGCAAGGGGCCAGGCGCTAGGCTGATTGAGGGTGGTGCCCTGGCGGGCGGGTTGGGGCGCAGTGGGGCGAGCTGCTCAATGGCACCTGCTTGGCATGCCAAATTAGGCAGCCAGCCAGGCGGGCAGCCAATATTCTGCCAAATTCTTGTAGCTGGCGCCTAAAATCACGCAACGTTTCTTCTATACATATATATATTTTTTTTCTGCCACTTCAATGATGCATATTTGATGCGTGTTTTACATATGCCAACAAAACACACACAGAGAGAGAGAGAGAGAGAGACAGACAGACACACGCACACAACACTTGTCAGTGACAATTTTCATTAATTTTAAAAGCTAAATAAATTTGTTGAGGCACAGCCGAGCCGCAACTATTTGACGTTGAATGCCGCTGACTTCGCACGGCGTGAAACAAGAAAAAGTCATGTTTCACACACACAACACACAACACGCAACACACACACACACACAGAGGAGACACACACATGACACAAGCAGCAGGCACAATTCGCCAAGCGGCATTTTAATGGCTCGCATATGTAAGTGGCTTCAAATGGATTGTCAAGGCAGCACAAGCAAACATTCACACACACACACACACCCACACACGCACACACAAGCTCCACCTGCGCACCGAAATATCTCTTTAGCCCCACGGCAAATGCCAAGAGTCCCATTCCAAAAACAAGAAAGAAAGTTTACTTTTTTTTCGCTCTCTCTCTCTCTCTCTCTCTCTCTTTCTCTATCTCTCTCTCTCTCTCTCTCTCCTTCTCTCTCTCTCTCAATTTTGCTGGTCTCTTCTTTTCTCGCTGCTCCTATTTTTATTGAGCACGCATTACAGACTCTTACCAGAAACAAGTTTATCTACAGCTTCTGCTTTTTAACGCACTTATCAAATTTTCACTTAAAAGTGCTGTAAAATATCAAAAGTTGCAAGCTTTGGAGCGGTTCACGGTTCAAAAAATTTGTAATTTGTGTAAGAATTAAATTTCTTAAGCCATAAATGCATTCAATTTCCCCTTTTCGAGCATTACTAACATAAGCTCAAAAAAACTCTCGCTTAAAACAAAAACCTTAAGATTTTGTGTGAATGAAATGTTTTGTATGCTTCGTATTTACTTATTTATTCTGAAGATATGCGCGTTGAAGAGAGCTCAAGAAATCTCCGGAGCACTCCAACGACAAACCTAACTTGATCTTCCCAAAAAAAAGGTTTTATCTTGATTTTGTAGGAACATAAAATTGGATAGCTATATTAGTAGCTTCTATTTACCTTAGTTTGGTATTGAATCTGTAAATATTGTACCGCAAAGGAACTAGTTAATAAGAAACTAGTTAAAAATCCAAAAGGAACTTGTTTAAAAGAACAAGTTTAAAATATATCATCCTTATGAACTAGTTGAAAATATAGTATCCAAAGGATTTAGTTGATAAGTTACTAGTTAAAATGAAGTAAGCCTAGGAACTAGTCAATAAGAAGCCAATTAAAAATAAAGTACTCAAAGGAGACTGTTTCAAAGGAACTAGTTCAACATATAGCACCCTAAGGAGATAGTCGAAAATATAGTACCCAAAAGAAGTTGTAAGCAAGGAACTAGTTATATAGTAACCAAATGAAATAGATAGTAAAGAACTCGTTAAAAATATAGTACCCTAAGGAACAACTTAATAAGAAGCCAGCCAAAAATAAAGTTCCTAGAGGAACTAGTTTAATATATATAATCCAAAAGAACTACATAATAAAGTAGACTTCAAATAGAGCTCGTCTTTTAAGCTCCCAATTAATTTAGAAAATTGATACAGCCCGGAGCTATTTAGCTAACTGGTCTCAGCTGTGCCCACAGGGTATCTGCTCGTCGAACACATTCCGCCAAATGCAATCAGCTTGTTGATAGGTGAATGAACCGAACGGTGGAACAAACTTGAAACAAACTCATTAAGCGACAGCATTGGCGCGACTTTTGTCGGCTTCACAAACTGGCTGAGTTTGGTTGGGCCTGGGCTCGGGTGGAGCCTGGGGAGAAGGAGGGCGCTGGGGCAGCTATGTTGGAGTGGGTGCATGATGGTTCCTCAGTGTTGGAAGCTGGCTGCTGACACGGTTACTCAACTTCCGGCGTCTACTATTTCATCAGAGCGAGGCGGGCGCGCGGGTGGGTGTGGAATTGCATACAACAGCGGCTGCTGCAGAAGAGTGTTGCGAAAGCAGCGCACACTTCCTGCCAGCACACACACACACACACACACACACACATACACACAGCACGCATACACAAAGCAACGCTCAGGGACGTGCCCAGGAGCTGCATCCTTTGCCAGCATTCATGCTAATAATTTGGATGGCGCCGCGCGACGCACAGCGACAGCGTCAGGTGTAAAATATTGTTTAACACGCACACCCACACCCTCACACATACACCCACACTCGCAGGCAGACACATATAAATTCATATGCAAATCAAAAAAAGATTGCGATGCGTCACCAACGAAGCGGCTGACAACGCGGCAAAAGTAAAAACAGTTGAAAGGCATTTCATGTTGCGCTTTCATTACGCACAATTTGGAGCCACCCCCATACTCACACATACACACACACATACACACACACACACACACGTCTACTCATACACACACTCGCACATTTTTGCCGTTGCCTAATTTGCCTTTGATGGCGCAAGGCAACAAAATTTTTGATTGAATTTTATAACAACAAATCTTGTATTTGTTGCTGTTACACAAAACTCTTGCACACACACATACACCTTCTCATCCCTCACGCCCTTTTTAGCATCAATAGCTGTTATTGAACTCACCTGCAAATTGGGCGGACAATGATCCAACAGCTCCAGCATATGTTTTATATTCTGCGCATCCTGTATCACAAAATTCAATTCCATATCGAATTCGCCGCCGACCAGCTGCAAAATTAAAAAAAAAGATTCTTTAATTAGTATTTTTTGTATTATTTTTGAGTTTTTTATAAAGTCGCGAATTCATAGCCGAATTTCGGAAAATACCGAAAAAATACCGATTGAAAAGGGTCAGCAAGGCTGCAAAAAATACTGTTTTTTTTTTGTAACATCATTAAATGATAAGCTGGAATGCTGCATTCCAATTTTAAAAAATACCAAAAAAAATACCAACTGAAAAGAGTCGGTAAGTACAAAAATACTGTTGTTAAAAGAGGGAAGGGCGGACAATTATTTATGCTACAGAATTTGCACATTGGCTTATTGAAAAAAGTACCGATAAAATAGCAAAAAATATACCAATAAAAAAGTTAGGCACAAAAATCTTGTTGACTTTTTTAAAGTAAAAAACTCATGTTGTTGTCGGAAAGGATTATTTTTGTTGATGCTGAGTGTAGTGCATTAAGAACTTATGTACTCTGGTGGATTTAAAAAGTTGTAACGGCGGAAAATGGGTGAAAAACTGTTGCGTGAAAGCTTTCACATTTATAAATATTGTGGCTATACATGTGCACAGAAAAAAAGTTATAATTTTCTATTTATTTAGCAAGAGTTTATAAAATGATATGTGGGCGTTGCCACACTTGCATGCCACACTATGCAGACAAAGTTGGCAACGCTCTGCAGCAGAAGAGTTGGAATTGGTAGGAATTAGGCGCACGGCGTTTGAATAATACAATATTTGTATGTGGAATATTGCCAGACTGATTTTGGTACGAATCTAAGCTGGCTGCGAACTACACGAGTTATGCTTGTGGGGCTGCCAGACCAGTTAATTCTCAGCTCAGACAAAACAGAAAAGAAATCTAAGCAAAAAATGTCAATTGATGGAAAATTGGCAAAAAACTAAATTCACATTGTTTAGCACATGATTCACCACGTAAGAGAATTGTATAAACGTGTGGAACTGTGGAACACTGCAAATGAATGATTCAATTGTTAGTCAAGCTCAGCTGAGTTGGAGATGAGGATCTGATGTAGGCTGGATCAACTCCCATATAAGAAAGTGGGTCAAGTAATTTGAGAGCTCTCTATTTGAACTACATTTCACTTTTAAAGTGCGTGTCGATGAATATGATGATGATGATAATGATGATGATGATGATGATGATGGCTTTGGGCAATGGTTGGCCTAAAGTTTGTGTTGGGCTGGGCCGTGGGATTATCATGCTGGCTGTGACCATTTAGATGCCTGCTGGCGTTTTGGGCTGAAAGTTGTGGAGCTTAAGCTAAGTACTCATAGATGTTGGTTTGGTAGTTTGGATGCTGGATGCTGGCTCAAAGTGTGGGTTGGGCGTGTCCGAGAGCCATTCCGGCCAGCGCAATCAGCGCGTCTTTCAGCAAAGATGGGCGAAGAGGCAGGCAGTGAGCGAGCGAGATAGAGAGAGTGAGAGTGGGAAAAAGAGTGAGAGTCTAGAAAGGTTCTAACTTAATTACGATAGAGTAAGCCTCCAGCCCGGCAGCCGCGCATGGCTCCAAAATATCTACGTGTTTTTTTTTTTTTTTGACAGGCAATTGAATCGACAATCGAATTTTGTTACTGTTGTTTCCCCCTCCATGCAACACACACCGCACTCTCCCGCCATTTGGCTGGTGTTGGGGTTTTTCGTGTCAATTCATTTGATGCTTTTTGCGCGCTTTAATAAAATCAGCAAATAAATTCCATAAATTGATTTGAGGCGCAACAGAAAAAAAGTAAAAATAAAAATACAAGTGGAAGAAAAACTTGCTCACAAGTGCTACAATCCGTGCTCGCCCTTCCGCTCTGCCGACCTAACACCCCCCCCCCCCCCCCTCTTCGTCTGTATTTATGTGTCTATTTCGTATTGTGTTTTCTTTTTGAAGGGGGGGAGTGGGGGGAGGGGGGTCTTTGCTGGCGGCCGCCAGCTGGGCGCCAGCCTCATCCTCTTAGCGCCAGCAGCCTCTGCAGCTCTCTGACCCTCTCCCGCTCCCACTCTGCTTCTCCCTCTCTGACTCTGTGTTTCTCTTTCGTGCTAGCCCTTAAGCTGGCTGCACTTGAGCTGCTTGTTATGGACAGCTTTATAATTATGCGTCCTTTGCCCCTTTTTTTGGCTCAGCTTCAGTTTTAACCGCAGTCTAGTGGTTGCTGTTGTCTCTGCAGGCTCCACTCCTCCTCCCCTCACTGCCGCTTTGCAGTCACCCGCCTTTGCCCCAGCACCCTTAATTGTTGTACGACTCTGATTTCTTATCACCTGCTTCGCAGAAATATCAAAACGACATCTGCGGCGTTGCGGCTGCTGAGCGATACCCTGTACTGAGAGTGCGAGTGCTAGAAAGCTGTTATACAGTTGCTCTTCTACTGCTAATGCTAACCTATCAAGCGCCAGTGTGGCATAAATGCTTTTAGAAATTGATCCACAACTATAGTAGAGCTGTTATACGTCTTTCCAAAATCTAATATGCAAATGAGGAAAAGTTGTTATACATATTTTCAAAGACTAATATACAAATGAGGCACAACTGTTATACATCTGTCATAAAACTTATTTTCAAATGTATCAAAACTGTTATTCATACTGTCATATGATATATATAGAAGTGTAGCAAAACTGTTATACAACTGTCATACACAAATGTAGCAAAACTGTGGCATACCGACAATACTACGCCGATATATCTCCATTTTGACTGAGGAAATATATCGCTTTTTGTCCAGACAAATTATTACGTTTGGAAGCTCCATAATTTCAGCTTAAGTAAATGCGCTGTTTACAGAACTGTAATAACTTAACAACTGTTATACGGCCTAAACACAAGTCAATGTGCCACACAAGAAACTGTTAGATACTGATATACTTATGGTCAGCTCTGTCGAAAAGTTTTAGACAATAGCTGTACATGTGCCATATGTTCATCTACATTCATAATATTCCAACTTATAGACAAGCCAATTGTTATAAAAACAACAAAGAACCGTTAAAAGTTAAAAAAAAAAACAGCTGTTATATAAATTATGAATAAAACTTTCATTTAAGTATATATGTTTTATAACGGTTCGATTAGCTGTTTTCTATTAAATATATAATAATGTGTATACAACTTTTATACAACTAAAATGTTTGTTAATCAAAATTCGCTGGCTGTTATACAACTGTTATTAGCTGTTATATGGGTGGAAAATGGATGAAGTTTAAAGTTTCTTCAAAGCTGTTTATATGAGCTTATTGAATGTTTGTGCTGCAGAGAAACGTCGTCCTTTTTGTAGTTTATAATACATTCCTTTGGTTTTTCTCTCTTTGGTCTACTAAGCAGGCTTCCAAATATATATTTTGAACAATTGCGCTGTGCGGTTGGCTTTTTATTGTAGTAAACCACTTACAAAACTACACACACTTTCACACACACACACACACATATCTTTTACAATGGCACCTAACGCAATTTAAGTCAACTTCGACACCTGCAAAGTAAAATTGAATTACAAAAATAAAATAAAAAAGAAAATAATGCGAAAAACTTGCACAAAGGTAACGGCAATGAGGAAAGTCAAATACAAAGGCCAAGCTCAGTCACCCCGCTCACAGCTCACCCCCCGCTCTCACCCCTCTCTCTTACACTCTTACTCTTTCACCCTCTCTCATACTATTTCTCCCCTTTCTATTTGCTTTTGCCAGCGAGTGTAAAGTGTAATTTTTTCACCTTCACGCTAAATTTTCAGCATGACGCCGTTCGAGTATCAGAACCCGCCGCTCCACTGCTCTTGCCCCTGCCCCTGCCCATGCCCCTGCGCCTGACCCTGCCCCACGCCACCTAACACCTACAGCCACCCGCCCCCTCTAACTCATGCCTCGCACTTACAAAACGCTGCCACTTGAGAACTTTTAGTGCGTCTCAATGCGCATTTTAAATAAAAAAGAAATTCAATTTACTTTAAACAAGGCGACAGAAACACAGCAAAAGCAGCTCCAAGTACACACACACACACACACAGAGAGAGACACACACACATAATGAAAGCGGAACAAGTGATAAGGGGTCGGTTAGGGGTATTCAGGCTCACGGAGACGAGGTGACAAACAGCAGCGAAAAATGTCAGCGACAGCTTCTGCTGCTGCTTCTTCTTCTTTTCGCCCTCAGCGCTCAGCGAAAGAGACAAAAAAAAAAAAAAGCCAGACAGAGAAAAAAACTTTTTAAATGAACTCAAAATTGACTAAATGTGCTAGCTAAAGGTGCGTAGCGGACAGAGCCTTTGAGTGAGGGGTGGGAGCAACACGCTGGGGAATTTCAGTTGAAACCCCCCTCGGAATATAATAAAAATAAAAAAAACTGGAATATAATTAAGCGGCGTTTAGAACGCTTGTAAGGAGGGAGCAAAGTTTTCCTAATTGTTTGCCGGCGCAAGGCGAATAAAAAAAAAGAAAACTTTACGCAAAATCTGAATGAGAATTTCATGTTTTTTTACATTATTTTTTATGATTTCTCTCGAGATGTCATTTTCAGTTGCCAAAAGCAAACATAAACCTTATTCCTTATGCTCTCTTAGCTAAGCTCAGTATAAGGGCTGGGAAAAATGTGGATCTTCCTATAATTAATATGTTTGGGTCCAATAGTCATCAAGTACAAGCACACGGGATTGTAAACAAATGATGTAGCACAAAAGATATACTCTACAAAGCCGTAGGCAGGCACTTGGGGAGACTACACGACTGCAAGACACCCTGTACGCAAGGCAGCCCTAATCGAGCGTGGCACAGCTCTGATAAATGCAAATCGATTCACATTCTGTGCGACCCAAGCGCCTAGCTTGCCTTTCGTTAGCCGAAATGATGTTTCGCAAAGTGCGCGCTAAAATTCCCAAATGGTTTTGGCACAAGCTGCAACAAGGATCGTTGTGATTAACTATCCCTGGGGCAAGCGCACCGAAAATTGCCCACGCAAAAGGAGGCACACGTCAAATGAAATAGGAAGAGTAAAGTGAGAAAACACAC